TGTTATTTATATGTTTTTAAATTGAGCTACGTTAATTTGTGAAAATTACGAATGAACATGTCATTAGTTGTATTTATGTAGTGTTGCTGTAAATATTAAAAAATTTAATTATGGTACGGAACCGAACCCGAACGGTTCTATAATGAAGAGAACCGAACCGAATTGACCCACGGACAGCCCTAACTATAACCAAAAGCTCAGAAGCACGGGCACGTTCCGGATGACAACGTATCGGTGTCCGACACATATCGGACACCGGTACGCCTCCGATACGTTGCCAACGAGTGTCGGAGTTCCTTGCAGCGTGTCGGAGGCGAGAAATGAAGAAAAAATGAAAAAGTAAATGCGGCGGCTTACTTGAAGAAATCCGGTGACTGGCGGCGACTAGTGTGATGAAAGGTGAAGAATGAAATGCCGGGGAAGAAAAGTTCCGATCGCGTTCTACAGTCCTGGAGAAGGAAGGAAAGAGAGAGGAGAAGAACTGATGGGAGCTTTTTTCCTTGGGAAGGAAAGAAAAAGAGAGAAAATAGGAAGAAACTGTTGGGCAGGGGAATGCAAAAGGCTGCAAGAGGAAAATGACAAGTCATGCATTTGTCAATGCACTTTTAAAATTTCTGTTTATGTTAAAGGTCGTAATTAGATTGTAATTAGTGGTTGATTAGCTTTATTCTAGATTCCTAATTTATATTCTTTCCTTAGATAGATTCCTAGATTTTGTATATATATGTGTAACCCTTTTCCAAAGAGAGCAGAGAATAATATTCTTCACAATATCTTTCACATAGTATCAGAGCCCTTACTGTGAAGCAGTTTTTTACGGTATTTCGAGTTCTTGTGGGTTGAAAATCAAAATAATATTATTTACAGTAAAGCTCGAATTTTGGTTTAGGGACTCACCTTGTTCGTGCTCTTGGTTTTCTTCTGTGAGGAGAGAAACTTGGTCGTAGGGTATCGGCGACTTCTGTTACGGAGCCGTCGAAGTTTTCTCAGCATTAAGGTGCTTCGGTGGTTCGGACTCTGCTGAAATAAACAACAGATTCAAGCGATTTGGTGCGAGTCTGGTCGGCGACTGGTTTGGGCATTTTTTTCCGGCTGTCGAAGGTAATATTTCGTCGGAGTTGGTACTGCAGGTGACCCATTCTTCGAGTTATCTGTCGTCCTCTGCAGGTGGTCGATTCTAAGGGAGGAAACATTTATTTTGGACTTTGGACAGGTATAAGTTTGATTTGGGCCAGAATATTTATTTGGGCTTAACTTTGTGAATTTTGTGAGTTGGGCCAGGTATATCAGTTTGGGCTTGTTGCTGGTGGAATATAATTTTATTTGGACTTGACTTTTATTAGATCCAATTCATTTGTGTTTCATTTGGTTATTGGACTTGTTGGACCGTCTTGTGTTTATCGCATTGTATCTCTGTTGAGAAGTTATGGCTGAAAAGAAATCCATTGTCGCATCGAATATGATACCCGTGATGTCAAAAATCACTGACCATAAGCTTAATGGCTTTTATTATTTGGATTGGAGTAAAACCGTTCGACTTTATCTACGGAGTTTTGACAAAGATACTCATTTGACTGACGATCCTCCCACAGATGATTCAAAGCAGACTTGGCTTAGAGAGGATGCTCGGTTATTCCTGCAAATTCGAAATTCCATTGACGGAGAGGTAATTGGCTTGATCAATC